CTCTCCCGCGCCGTGTGTCGAACATGTATAAATATGAAGATCGGATCGCATCAGACTTTTATCTTTTCACGCACAGAAAACACCAAACCCTATCCATGCTCTCTTAAACTCATTTTTCACTTCCCTTCATCATTTTCATTGTGAACAAGGATTTGAACTCTGATTTCGCTATTTTCTTCATATTAGGCTTGTTTATCGAATTCAACTTTGAATTTTATCAATCGTAAGAATCTCTTTTAATTTAATCGTTAGTTATAAATTCATGGGTTGTGATTGCCTTTGTTGATTATTCGAGTATGAGTAGCTAAATTCATATGCTAGGGATAGGAGATTGATGTTTTGATTTCAATTACGATTGTGGGTGTTCGTTGATTGTTCTTTTCATGCGAGTTGATCTTTTTAAAGGGGTTTCAACTGTCAGGCTTGAGTATTGATAATTGTTGATGGGTGACACTTCAACTTACAGTTGTTTCAATTGAATTTAATTTATTCGTGCTTGATATTGGTGATTCTTTTCTATTAGTCGGTTAACCACCCTCTAGTCTACTTTAATCGACTCTTAGAAACGAAAAGGGAGGAGTCGGTCGAAATATGTTGGTATGAACTAGGCTTGTTCGTAACCGTATTGCCTAGGAGTTAAATGAATTGTTAATTTGCAGTTCTAGTTTGTTCTCTTGTTACGAAAAGTTATTGAGAATGAGTACTTGAACGTGTTGGTTATTCAAATCACTTAGCTAAACAATCACTTGCCCATTAATTGCAATTCGAACCAAAACGGATCTCCCCAACTCCCTAGCTTCTCAAATCCTACTTGTTCTTCGTTGTTGCTTTAATATTTCTTTTGCTTTATTTGAATTTTCGCAATAGTTGATAATTAAACCAAACTAAGCTTTGATCTACAATGTTTAGGAGTTTTATTTCTTTTTATGTGGTTGAATAAACGCGCATAGTATTCCGGCTAACCTTCCTCGAGAGACACAACTCGGTGTTTGTTCGAATCTTTTGATTCTATTTCGAAAAAAATATTTACAACACCTATTATGTCGGGCAGAGGGTGCTACACGCAGGCAGCAGGTTAGCGCCTGAACCGACTCCAAATAGGTTTTCCTTCACAGATGAGGACGCCTTTCTGTTCGACCACCCACACTCAGACACCCTGGTGATCACGGCGCCGATCATGGCGATATAGATTCATTGCATCATGGTTGACGTCGGTGCCTACGCGAGCATACTCTATTACAACACTTTCAAAAAGATGGGCAACGACATAAAGGACGTGCAACCCTGCCGCGAGCGGATCCAGGGCTTCAATGGACAAACAATTCTCCCTGACGGCCAGATCGTATTGCCGATCAGATTCGGGGAGAGGGGGAAACTCACGAGAAAGATCCTTTAAACCCTCAAGATCGTGGACTGCCAGAGTGAGTATAACGCCATCTTGGGCAGGACGACACTTCACAAGCTAAGAGTTGTTGTCTCTATTTTTCACTACTCTCTCAAATTCTCCGACCTCGGACGGGGAAATGACTCACCGGGGGGATCAGAGAGAGGCACGTGAGTGCGTCTCGACCATCCCGCGGGCGGAGATAAACGTGGTCGACTCCACCCCACACCCCAAGGTGGCAGGGGCCGAATTGGAATCGATACAGAAGATGGCCTGGACATCCCGAACGCAAATGCCGAGCTGGAGTACCTCGACCAAAGGGACAACCGCATGCTGGGAAACCAGACAGGTCCCCTCCCCCTAATCGCGGATAGTGCCGACCCGGCCGATGGGGGGTCTGGTGCCGACCTAGATTAGGACAGAGGAAGAAGGGCCGGCAAGGAGCCGGTCACAGAAGATGATGAGCTCTGGGCCCAATACGAAGAAAA